ATGATCTGTCCACTCCCATAAGCACCTGATAAACTTTCCTGGTGGGCACCACATTTCTGAGCCAATATTCCGTTGCTCTCTCGCCAACCTCCCCACTCAACCCCAGTAAATGGAAACCTTTATTTTCTAATCGGGTGGTTGTTACCCAAAAAGTGCCCAAATAGATGTCAAGGCAAAATATCAGATGAAATCAGAAATGAGAATAAATGTTTTTCTCTGTTTACATCAGAAACTCCTCGAGTAGTGAAATACTAGAGGCTGAATACTTTCTGAAAATATTAAAGCTTTAGATTAAAGTCACTAGTTTGAGAACCAAGATAGTTGGAACCGAGGTCAGGAAGCATTTCTTCACACAAAGGATTATGAAGATGTGAAAGGTGAGAATGCTCTGTCCCATAAAGTTATAGAGATGGAATCAATAGGGATGTTTAAGAGAGATGAGCAAACACTTGGGTAGAAGAGGTAGCAGAAGTATTAAGGAGTGTGGTGAAAGAGTGTGTTGTTGTAAATAAAAGATGAGCCAAGATCTAAAAAACTGGTGCAACGGGTTTGATGGATTGAATGGCCTCTGCCGGTTGTCCTAGGTTCCACTAAAATGAAATATATTTTTAAGATATGCTTTGCTCTTCCAAAGAGCTAGCGCAGGCACGATGGGCTAAATGGCCTCCTTCTGTGCTGTATTATTCTATGAAGAGTCTCTAAGGTTTATAAATATTGCAAGTTGGGATGAAAAATATTCATATATATATATATAGAGAGAGAGAGAGAGAGAATTCTATACTTGTGAATCACTTTAAAAATCATGGAAATTATACCCAATATGAAATAATATTCCCTACTAGAAACTCTCGAACAGACAGAGATTGAAGAGCTATATATTTTTTTAAAAACACAAAGAATCTACACTACTTTTAGCACAACACACCCTTATTCAATCTATTCTTCATCAATTCTTTAGTGCACCATTCTGCAAACATTTTCTGATCTGAAACAGAATTAATGAACTGGTGGGCGATGTATAGTTTGGCCTTGAGCAATGTTAACAGCATTTTCTGCTTGAATGGATCCACCTCAACTCTGCTCCTACCTGTTGCTGTTAAAAAAAACAGGCAAGTCTTGTGATTAAGAGCAAGCAGCACTGCTGGGTCACTTAAATCAGAATGCAAATGTGATCGGTCTTGAAAAAAAAGTGTTTTTAATAAAAAAAACTTGAGAATTGCTTCTAGAGAGATGCATTGATAATGTTGGTGTCTGGGAGCCCAAGAAAAGACATTTATGTTAAGAAATACACCATGAACAACGTCTGACCTTCACTTTTCCTGCAGTGATTAGAGGTAAAAACAAGTGGATGGTGAGTGACATTACATATTAAGAAGGAACATTAGAGAAACTATATCCGAGGCACTGCTGTACATGTTTTGTAGTTGTAATGCAATTCCGAAATTTCAGGAGCACCATTACCATATAGGATTCCAAGTCTACCGAAATGCTGGGATTGCAACCCCTACCTGCTTTAATGTTCTGCTATCAAATTAAAATTCTTTTCACGTAGTTCAAAACCCACTTAATTATTTCTCAGCCAGCCCATGCACTGCAATTATTTCATGAGTCCTACGCACAGACACATTGGCAGTCATCTTGAATTTTTTTCATAAGAACGTAAGAGCATCTAAACTTTTCCACATGTTAAGTTTCCACACTGGTTGGCATATACCATATGCTAACTCCCAGTTAGCTGAATCTTGTGCCGTAAAGAATATCAAGGAACATATTGAAGTGTTAATTCCCTGAGCCTATGTTTCCCATTAAGTTAAAGACAGTGTCACCAAACTTGGTGCTTTCGGGGGCTGTCTCAAGTCCAGCAACACTTTCCATTGAAATATTTGTCATACTGTGAAGCTATCCAAATATTTTAATATTTATTAAACGTAATAAAAATGGAATACAACCAGTGAAGCGATCTTTCTGCTGATTTTAACCCTCCTTTAGAAGATCCTATACGTTACTTTAGATGCAAGCATTTTTACCATGTATCCCTTTAAGGTTGAGTGTTAATTGACAATGGATCACTCAGATTAAACACTCCAATTCAACACATGTTTAACATGCACAGTACTTATCATTCACCTTGATGCTTATAGTTCTCCAAGGATCAGTGTCAGATTTCGTGATGAAAGTCACGAGGTGTTTTATAGGGGCCACTCCCTTCATTTGAAAAGCTAAAAAAAAATAAAGTATGAAGGCCACTTGGATCATCATGGATCCCCAAAAGCACAGGAGTGGCAACTTGACATCACAAGAGGGTTAAGTCAAGTTATTGACTTGCATCTCACTGCAGGCACTCTGCTCTGACGAGGTGGCACAAGTCACACCAAAACACAACATGATATAACTCTTTGCCAGACAAAAACAGCCTCATCAAATGGGTTCTCATGAAGACAATCAGTTCCCTTTAACAAAGTTGATTTTCCCACCCCACCATAAAAACTATTGTGTATATAAAAAAAAAGTCATTGCATTTACAATCCTGCCAAGCCCCTTGAGACATCCTCCCGACATAATAGGCACTATACCCAATGTACCAATTATTATTATTATAATAATAAATAATAATCCTTGCATTTGTTATAGCGCTTTTCACATCTTCTAGACGTCTAAAGCTCTTCACAGAATATACTGTAAAGTGAATTGATTGTATATTTGTGGATGAAACGCGGCAGCCAATTGCGCACAGTAGTGCCCCACAAACAATCGTGGATTGAGTGACCAAATTATTATTGCTTTTTTCTTGAGGGATTATTATCAGGTGTGTGGAGTAAGGAAACTTGCCCAAGGTTTCACCCTGCCGGGAATTGAACCTAGGTCTCTCGCTTGCAAGGTGAGTGCTCTAACCACTGAGCTCTAATGGACTCCATTATAATGATTATTAACACAAATACTGAGATATATTTCAAGAAAATGTTTTAGAATTATTGAATTGCTTTTCCATAATGAAAGTACCTGCATAAAATCGTCAATGCCTTGGTTGTAGGTATTGCAAGACTCTGTGGGATTTTAATAGGATAAATGCCAAGAACATTAAAATCAGCCTGGCTCAGTCGTAGCACTCTCACCCCTGAATTACAGAGTTGCGGGTTCAAGCACCACGTCGGGATTTGAAATCACATAGTCCAACCTGACACTCCAATGCAGTGTTGGGTGTGTGCTGCATTATTGGGAGGTACCATCTCTTGGATGAAAGATTAAATTGAGGTCCCATCTACCTATTCAGGTGGATGTTAAATGTCTTCTCCCGGTGTCCTGGCCAACAAATCCCCCCAGATAAAATTGGTCACTCACTCCATGGCTGTTTACGGGACATTGCTGTGCTCAAATTGGCTGCCGTATTTCACTCATAAAATACACAGTCTAAACTTTACTATATCTGTGAAGTGCTTTGAGACGTCTCGATAACACGATAAGGTGCTGTATCAAATTAAAGGATTATTATTATTATTATTATTAATAAACCACTTCCTCCTTAAGAATGCTTTGGTATGGAGAACACATGGAATTTATAACAGCACCAACAAATAAAAACAAAGGCAGGAGTGAGTGAGTGAGTGAGTGAATGAATGAATGAATGAATGAATGAGTGAGTGAGTGAGTGAGTGAGTAAGTGAGTGAGTGAGTGAGTGAGAGGGGGGAAGGGGGGATTAATGGTTAGATGTGAATAGAAATTCAACTGATTTTAGGCACAGATGAGACAGTTTATGTCTTGGTGGTGGTGGGGAGGAGTTCTCATGCCAGGACAAACGCCTTCTGTGTTTAGAAACTGGGAAGGAGAGGGAGGGAGATAAAGTGCATTTTTTAATGTGATTTTCCTCTTCAGTGCATATTTGGGGACGGGGGTGTTTTTACGAGTGAACTTTCAAAAACTTTTTGGGTGATGATTTCTGGTGGGAGGGGGCTGGCTGAGATGCTGACAAAATATACCAGCTGATGCACCCCCTCCCACTGTTCGCTGAGCTCTTGGGGAAACCCTTTACAAAGACGGGAACACTGTTGTGTGCTTTGCAACTCACACAGGACAGAGATTTCCCAACTCGGCTGCGGAATAATAATAATAATAATAATCCTTGAATTTGATGTAGCGCTTTTCACGTCGTGCGAACGTCCCAAAGCGCTTCACTGAACACACTGTAAAGTGAATTGACCGTAGATGTGTGGGCGAACGCGGCAGCCAATTGCGCACGGCAGCGTCCCACAAACAGCCGTGGATTGAAAATGACCAATTTATTATTCTTTGGTTTTTTTTGGAGGGATTATTATTAGGCGCGTGGAGTAAGGAAACTTGGCCAAGGTTTCGCAGTGCCTGGATTTGATCTCAGGTCTCTCGTTTGCAAAGCGAGTGCTTTAACCACTGAGCTACAGGACATCGCACCCCCCCACCCCACCCCACCCCACCCCACCCCACCCAGTGGGTGCTTCACAGTCTAAGTAATCCCATGTTCATTGCAATCCTCACGGCTCTGTGGAGGGACTTTGGTGCAGGAATGCACTGTGACAACCGCTCAAACAGAGTGCAAGTGAAAGGGAAGGCGCAAACGACACCCTTCGCAACTTAACGCACAAGAAAGCGCTTGGGAGCAAATCCAGTCGGTGCAAGTCAGATCAGCAAAAAGAAAAATATCTGCACTCGACTTCAAAAGCACCGTTTTTTGTTTTTGTTTTTGCGGACGAACTGAATGCCCAACAGGGACCAACAGCCCGACACACAGCCCGAGCACTCCCGCACCTCCCGCACCTCCCGCACCGCATCTCAGCTCAGCTCAGCTCCCGGTACACAGCGCGGGGTTTCGGTCTGAGCAGCGAGAAGTTTTGCAAAGCTTTTGCAAACGATTGCTCTCTCTCTCTCTCTCTCTCTCTCGGAGCAAATAAAAACCTTTGCTCCCTCTCCCTCTCCCTCCCACCCACCCATCACCCCCCACCCATCACCCCCTCCCCTTTTATCCTCTTACCTTGACCACGTCGTCGTTCAGGTGCTTGGGGTCCCTGTTGACCAGATCGATCTCTTTGGTGTGAACGTCGGCCAAGTATTTCTCGTTCATCTTCTCATCTTCCATTTTATTGTTGGGTTTGTAGATGTTCCCCTGAGCTCTGATCGGCGACGGATACAGAAGTCCCTGCGGGACGGAAAAGGGTCGGCGATGATGACAACTCTCCGGACGCAAAAGCGTTGGCATTCACTGCGGATGAGCCACAACGTGAAGGTGTTTCGCTTTGCACCGCACCTGATGGGATGGGGATGAGAGCTGCGCTGCACTGCGCTGCACTGCACTGCTCTGCGCTGCACTGCACTACACTGCACTTGCACTGCACTGCTCTGCGCTGCACTACACCGCACTGTGCAGCCCTGACCCGGGACCTGGTCGCATTTTAAAAGGGAGGAGGGAAAGACCAGGCGGCACCACACCCCCTTGCGATCCGAGCTGCCATACCCCCCAGTGCAGCGATAGGGGGCAATAGCAACTGCAGTCGAGGAAAGGCGATGCAATCGCTCCCAATCCAATTGCACACCAGCGGCGTCTCAACCGAGTCCGCAGATGTCTTGCACTGAACCCCAAATAAAGTCACGCGTCCGATGCAATAACGTGTCAGCGTTTTGCAACGCTATCTTCTTGTTGAAATGTTGAAATGCTACACCTTTAAACACAGCAACTCACCGGGACGGGGGGGGGGGGGGGTGGGGAGGGGGGTGCACGGTGCTCCTTTTTAACGAACTCGCAACGCGCGGCGCAAAACCCGTTCGGAGAGACGTTTACTAAAACGAATGCGACTCTCGGATTTGACATGTACTGAATACGGGATCGGAGGCACTGCACTCCACTGCCCTTTGCATTGCATTGCATTGCATTGCATTGCAATCGCATCGCATCGCATCTCCGGCTCCAAACGTCCGAGTGCTTCCGCGTTTCATTCATTCATTCATTCGCAAAGACAACTTTAAAAAGAAATCAAATCCCTGATGGTATTTGTTTGCAAAAGTGGACGCCCGTGTCTTCCAACCTCAGAGCACCGATCCTGTAGCAATGATAGGATTTGTCCAGCAAACTGGTTTCTCAATCACGATTGCAAACTAAGTTACTTTACTGGAGTCGTACAGGATGCACTTTGCATTCTCTTACCCCCCCCACACCCCCACCACCACCCCACTCCCTCCCTTCCAACCCCAACCCCAACCCCCACCCCCCAAAAAAAAAATGTTTTTTTAACTGCCAGATCATTGCATTTTATTATGTTGGCCCCTAACCCGGGCCAAGCAATGGATTGCAAAAAGAGCAAAAGAAGAGAAGAAAACAAATCAAATGCATTCAACTTCTGCACTCACGACAGAAAGATGTGTGATATCTCACTTACCTGAGATTCTCCGTTTTTACCACTGGACATACTTCCCCTCCAGCCCCAGGGTTTCAGCAATGGGTTGGGAGCCTCTATTTGTGTGTGTGTGTGTGTTTGGGGGGGGTGGGGGGGGTGTAAGCACGTAGCGAGAAGGAAGATAACTCCAAAGTAGGTGGTGATGGCTGGGGTTTGTTGGCTGCAATCCAGTTCAAGGGAACTCGTTGTGAGCACTGCGAGGGATATTGGTGCAATTGACTCCGACTGTGATGGGAAATCACTATGGTACACAAATACTCCTCCGGTGAATCATAACGTGGCTCAGGGTTTGTGGGACGGGAGATCGACCAATAACACAGTCCAATTGGGATATATATACACACACACACACACACACGTATATATATATATATATACAGAGAGAGAGAGATGGGGTGAGGAAGAAAGTCAGCAGCAGTCGAGGTTGCAAAGAGAGTGGGGTTAATGGGAAAGTCATTGCACAAACTGCAGAGAATAAGAGAATCTTAGACAAAGAGGAAGAGAGAGAGAGAGAGAGTAAGAGAAAAGACATACTGTATAAATGTGTGCACTCTGTGGTTTAGTTAGTGGAGTGAATGCAAACACTTGATGTGAATAAAAACTACTTGGAAGGGAAAGGTACAGTACAATATACTGTAGTGACAAGAGTACAGCAGAGAAATGTGCTATTCCGGGGATTAGACCCTGAGGCCAAATTTGCCCTGTCTTGAGTTCAGCAACAAACTGAGCAAGAACAATAACACTCTAAACCAGAAACACTCCTCAGGGAAATACAGCCATTAATCCAACAAGCTTCTCTAGTCCTGCCAGCATCACGAATTGTGGTGAGTTCAATTTGTTTTGATATATATGATCCCCAGATTTGGTTTACAAAATATGGTCACCCTACCCTACACTCAGCAAGGGGATCAAGTGTTGGGTTTTGTGTCAGAGGGAAGCCCTGGTCATCAGGGGAAGGAAAGGTTTTCCTGTTAGATTGACATAGGAAGTCATCCAAGTGTCATGCACTTCTTTAGAAAGCATATAAACATGCTAGAGGAGTGTGTTTTATCGCATTTGTAGTAGCGACTGCATCCGTTCAAAAGAGTCTCTTCCACGAGGGCCTGAGTTGCTATCTGGCTCCACTGAAATTCTGAGCTTTGTACATGCACCAGAGATGAAGGGAACACAAGGTTTAGGAGCCGCCTGAGGCACCTTTTGGCCTGTAGCTTCAATAGAACCTGCCAGGCTGAGGACTGGCCCCCATTAGTGTTTCGTTCATAGAAAACCCGGTCAATTCGCTTTAAATATATTCTGTGAGGCGCTTTCAGATGTCTCTAAGATGAAAAACACCCCACTCTATCACATACAAGGATTATTATTATTAGTAGTAGTCAAATCAAGATCCTTTCAAAATATTAATGTATAAAGCAAGAAAGAAAAGACCATTCAGCCCACTGGTTTCACATCCACACCCTGTCATTGGCTTCAGCTACTTGTTCTCCTGTGGGAAATCCTGGTACAAACGCTCCAAAAATATTAAACCCACATCTCCACTGGACCCCTTCACTCAGCTAACACCCATCCCATGACCCTTCCACACCACCATGGGTAGTTGTATCTTCAGCCACTATGCCCCTAAAATCTGGATCTCCTTGCCTCAATCCTTGTGCCTGACCCCATCTTTAACTTTAAGTGCCACTTCAGAATCCACCTCTTTGACTGCACCTATGCTCATCTCCTCCTTCTCCCTTGCTAAATGGCTTTAACGCAAACTGAGGAGAACTTGAATACATGATTTCACTCGTGACTTTCTCAACAATGTGGTGTTTCTCATTTGTGGAATAAAAGCAATGCCAACCAGCTATGTTATAAGAACACCATTGCTTTAAGATGCAACAAATGCAGAGTGAAAGTTTCTATCATGACCGTACTATAGAATAGAGTAGATCCAAGCAGATGACACTAAGACAGGAGGTGTGAGGAATTGTGTAGAGAGCAGAAAATTGCAAAGGATCATATGCAAATTAAGCAAAACAGTGGCAGATAATGTAGCATCTTGTGAGCATGTAGGCTTTGCGTGCAAGAACACCTTTGGAGTATTGCATTTAGTTTTGGGCAGCCCACCTTAGAAAGCATATACTGTACTGTTCTTAGAGAAAACCCAGCATTGATACTTGGGATAAAAGGCATTAGCTGTGATGAGAGACAGGGCATATTAGGTTATACTCCTGAGAGATGAGAAGGTTGAAGGGTGATCCGATTTGAGGCATTTAATAATAATCCTTGCATTTGATATAGCGCTTTTCACGTCGGGAGGACGCCCCAAAGCGCTTCACAGAACACACTGTAAAGTGAATTGACTGTATATTTGTGGGTAAACGCGGCAGCCAATTGCACACAGCAATGTCCCACAAACATTCGTAGATTGAAAATGACCAATTTATTATTGTTTTTGGTTTTTGGAGGGATTATTATTAGGCGTGTGGAGTAAGGAAACTTGCCCAAGGTTTCGCCCTCTGCCTGGAATTGAACTTAGGTCTCTCGCTTGCAAAGCAAGTGCTCTAACCACTGAGCTACAGGACTTCACAAATTAAAAGTAGAACTATTTAAAATAGTGAAAGGCACTTACACATTGAAAAAGACACAACTGGAGTCCTGTAGCTCAGTGGTTAGAGAGACACTGAGAGACACTGAGAGACATGGGTTAAATTCCAAGCAGGGCTAAATGTTGGGCAAGTTTCCTTACTCCACATGACTCTGTTTAACTAGCAGTAATCAGGAACCCAGTTGTTAGTCGATTGGTGGAGCACTTTTCCGGGGGTTATAGTTCCTTCAAAAAATTGATAATAATTTCACTTCAATCCACGACTGTTTGTGGGACACTGCTGTGCGCAATTGGCTGCTGCGTTTCGCCCACAAAATATACAGTTAATTCACTTTACAGTATATTCTGTGAAGGGCTTTGGAATGTCTCAAAAAGACTTGATAAGGTGCTATATGAAATGCAAGAATCATAACTCTTCCTTCTGGTAAATGAGTTGGGAACAACTCTTAAATTGAGAGTGAAAATAGATAGAAGTGAAAACATGTTTTCACACAAAGGGGTTGTGTATCGAATGCACAACCCAGAAGATCATCGATATACAATCAATTGAAGCGTTTAAACAGAAGCTAAAAAGACACTGGGGAAGTAACTAACAGACTCAACAATGATCAATGGTCAACTCCTGTTACTATGTCCCTGTCACTACTGTAGAAAAAGGGATTCATCTATTGTGGATAAAGGGATTATCTATTGCAACAAAAACAATTCATTAATCCAACAGCTCAATAACAGATTGACATTATGCCATTGGTTTCAATTCTCCACTGAATCGAATACACTTTCTGGAAAAGGAACTTTGTGTAAATAGAAAAGTGTGACACCACTAAATTCTCTCTTTATTTATACTTTATTATGAATTATCACATATACAATCTTAATTTGATGCAATGTATGATTGGAGCAACAAAGTTGTGGATAGATATTGCACTAAAATGGATAGATTTCACAAAGTAGATTTCTAGAAAAAAATCATCACATAATTGCAATCTTTGTAAGTGCTGCAGGATACACACATAATAACATTTTCCCATATTCACCACTATTAGATGCAGGTAGAACAGTACAAAGATTTTTGGACTAAAAGTTATAATATATACAGTATTATAGCAAAAAAGCATCAGCATTTATTCTCATGTGGAACTGCACTTAGTCATTTCACATATTAATTGGGGTATAATTTGCAAGTTGTGTTGAACCATGTGCTAAAAGCTTGTGTAAAAAAGAAACCACAAGTGCTCTTAATTAAGTTCATGATGATCAGCCAAGCAAATAAAAGCCAGAATCTCCTGTTGGGAATACACAATTCAGTGCTACCTGTAATTTCCCTTTACACATGAAAGGACAGCACCTCTGACAACTGCCCTCTCCCAGCACTGCAATCCTTGAAACAAAAACCTTATTTCGAGGTGAGAGTAGTACCAACTGAGCCAGGCATTTGCACATCGTTAAGACGCCCTGTTAATTCTGCACTTGAGTTGTTAACCTAACTCACAAATTAAGCCCCACTAGTGAGCATGGAACAGTACAGTCAGTGCAAATAAATCTGGTGGAGCTGCAGAATCATATTCTGAATAGCAAATGATTTACTGAGTTTCATCTAATTACTTTAAAAAAGTACCTTTTGCATATACAGTAAGCAAAATGTAGCAAAATGCCACTGTTTGGATTAAATCCTGCAGACTGAATTCTCTGTTTCCAATTTCAGCGTCTAAATAATAGGATAATTACTGAAACCAGCATCCTTTGTGTCTTTCTAATGCATATTCCTGAGACCCAATACAAATAATTTTATTATTGCACAGCAATATCCTTATAGAGGTCTAATGTGATTATCAGTTTATAATAGAAAATATAATCTTATTTCTAAATGAATTTTATGCAAAAAACTTTAAACACTTTACAAAAATGCTTTTTTGGAATAAAAGATGGAAGTATAGATAATGCCAGTCTTTTTTTTAATATAAAAGATCTAATCAGGTTCCCTTGTTCTCTTCAATCACCAACCACCTCCTGTTTGCTTCTTTACAGCTGAGTCAGTTGGAACCTGGTTGCAGAGCAGCAGCGTCCTATACTCTGACACAGAGGAGAAATAAACATGTCCATCATGCTTCTCCATATGATCTCAAGGGAAGGCAGGATCATCATAAAGGTCTTTATCATGGGCATACAGAGCCTGAAAGAGAGAATACCGAGTCAATTATTCACAACAATCATCTTATAAACAGATTTGTAATAACAAACAAGCACAATAATAATAGGAATAATCCCTACATCTGATATGATGCCTTATCACACCATTGGGGTGTGAAGATGACAAAAAGCTTCACTGAAATTGCTGTAAATTGTAGTGGCTGTCTTCGCCTACAAAAATATAATCACTACACTTTACAGTATATCCTGTGAAGCGCTGTGAGACATCTTCCGATGTTAAAAGGCTATATCAAATGCCAAGGATCTTAATTATTTATAGGTGAACATGACAGCCAGCACCTAAAGTAGACAGGTTTTAAACTGTAAGCCTTTCATTCATTAAAGCGGCCCATCAGAGCAAGTCACAGGACTTCAATTTCCTGTGGTCGTTGATATTTCCTCTTATCAGTTGTTTGTGTGTTTTATATACTTTGTTTCTTTTCTCCTCTGCACTGGTCACTAAAGTGTACATGATATGCATCAGGCATTTTATATTATGATGGTGTGATATGTCACAACAGTGTACAGGCTGATAGTGTACTAGTCCACTCTTAGAGGAATTGCGTTGTGTTTATTCTTGTCATTTCCAAATGACATTCAAGCAGAAGACCTTTCACAATCAAACCGTTAACACACCAAATGATAATTGCTCATTGATCTCCTGCGACCCTACTGCTCAGTGAACACCGGCCTGGATCATATCTCTTCACCAGCAGTGGACCAGCTTTCAGCCATTCCATCCATGTTCTCTTGAACTCCACCCTGAAGCCCCTCCGCCTTGCCCCTTCCCTCTGCACCATCAAAGCTAATCTTAAACCTCTCTCTCTCAGCTTTCGGCCTCTTTTTCCCTTACCCTCTCCAGCTCGGCTCTAAGTCAGTTGTGTGCAGCTCTTTTTGATGTCTTCCCGATGTGAAAAATGCTATATAAATGAACTCTGTGGCTATTACTGTCTGCTACACCTCTGACTGCCATCTTGTTTAGCTTTGTGTGATTTGCAGTCTTGCATTGATGGGCTTTTTGCCACCAGATTTTTAAAAAAAAATTCTAGACAAATCTCAAAAAACGGTAACAAATCCATGAATCATAAATTAGAGACTCTTGGAATCAACTGACAACACTTCATGCTGGCAAAACATTGGCCTTTTCTGGTATCAGGCACTCAGCCCAAAATACACAATCCTTATTTAAAATTCCACACATTGCTGGCCAGTATTCTGACGATCTTATCAGAGTTGGGTGGGGAGAGAAATAAGTGGGAATATCTTGTGTATTCTGAAATGTTGCTTTATTTTGGGGAATCAATTACACTTACAAATTACAGTTGCACTTAGTTGATCCAATGCATATGTAATATATATATATATATATAAATGCCAGCAGACCAGTCAGTGACTTACCAAATGTGGACGAAACTGAGCACTGCGAAGAAAATGCCAATGATGAAGGAAAAGGAATGGCGAGGAGAAGGGTGCAAAGCTTGTACACAGCAAGTTTGCTTAATTCAAATAACGCGTAACTGCAAATCCAGACTGTGTCGAAGCTTCGAGTGGAGGCAGGCTCTGCGATCACGTCCTCGAAAGAAACCTGCGGGCACACAGACATGTTAGCATGTGATCATTAACTGTAGATCAGTAACTGTGCAGAGATCAGCAACATACCCACTCTGTGCTGTCTTGCTTTGATTGTTGCATCCAAGCACCCCAAGGCACGATTCACGTGAAGGGTGCTACATAAATGCAAGTTGTTGTTGTTGTTGACCAACAGGTGTGCACTCTTACCAGAACCACCTCTGGGCTGCTGCGTGCATTTAAAGAATACACTTTATTAATATTATCATCCGTGCAGCTTTATTATTAACTTTATTACTGTCCGCCCTCAAAATAAGACAATCTTCGCCATCAGCCAACTGTGGTATATGTTACTTAGGAATGAATCGATCTAAACAAAGAAAGCTCTTTCATCGGGTCCTGTTACCCCTTCGGTCGATATATACACACACATATATACACATATATATATATATATATTTATGCACACAATTTGATTCTGACTCACTGCACGGTTCTTGCTGTGTACAATTCAATGCAATTCATCATCACCACCATCCCTGACAGTGAGCGATGTTCAGGGTGGGGGTGGGGGTGGGGGTGGGGGTGGGGGTGGGGGGGGGGGGAAAGAGTCCTCCTTCTGCGTTTACAGACTGCAGCTGATCTGTGCCGATGGTTACAGAAGCAGCTGTTTGCAGGTCAGCGCAGACAGCGGAGCGGTCCTGTCCGACTGCCAATCCTCACCTGGACCCGAGTGCTCTGCCCTCTGGGATCCCGACTGAGCTGCTCTTTCGGTGCCCTTTCCTGTTGGTTGGGAAGCGATTCAATTGAATTGCAAAGCTCTTCGTCTTCGGTCCTGAAGCCGCGATCCATTGAGTCGGTTTCCTCGAGCATTTTTTTTTCTTTCCCCCCACCCCACCCCCACCCCCTCCCGATCTGATTTCCTGGGGAGTTGGGATGGTTTTTGTTTCTCTCTCCCCCCCCACCACCCCCACCCCCCCTTCTGCCTCCTGTCCCAAAACCAGCAGCGCTGCGTATCTGTGTCTATAGCCACGCCCGTTGGGCACAGTCAACACACACACACACACACACACAGTATTAACTCTGTATATCCCCTCCACCCCACCCCCCCCCACCCCCCACCCCTGGCATCAGCTCTGCGGATCTCACTCCAGCAAATAGGGACCAAGTGCATTTGTCTCAAACTTGTTCTCTTGCAAGTAAAACACCAGCTCGATTTACAGCTGCAACATTGCCTGACACCTCCCACCATTGCAATAAGATAGACAGTGATGTTTGATTGCACTCCAGTGCAGTGCTGGGGGGGGGGTGGGGGGGGGGGATTGTAGGAGGTGCCATGCTTCAGGTAATAGGTTGATCCCAGCTCCCAGCTACATTAAAGATCTCATGGGGCTATTCAAAATTAGAAGGGAGTTTCTCTTGGAATGTTTTTCATTCCACCCCCCCCCCCCCCGCCCTGCCCGCCCCGCCCCGCAAGAATATGGATCCCTTAAATTATATTCAGGCTGATGCGAACTTTAAAATGGAGCGCTCCCTAACCTGCGATTTTTACCTGTGCCGCCTGCCCACTGTCCAAATTATTGCTCGTCGGTCAGCTCCTCTTGAAGGAAGAATCGCTTTGTTGGCAACTGCACCATGTTAAAACTAAAAGCAAGAGGTGAAACGACTGATCCCTGTCAAACCAGATTGATAGCACTGCAGAACATGTTTTTCCTGTTTGCTTGGTACCATCTAAATAGGTCAAGTAAGAAAGGTTCACAATCTTGGAAAATTACTAATTGGAACATAGGGAGGGAGGACGGTGAACAGATTCAGAGGGTATCTGGTTAGCAATTGTCATTGCTGAAGTTTTTCTGAGGTTGCAATGAACAAATTATTAGGGCACAACATCTCAAAAAGAGGACTGAAATTCCACTTAGTTTTTAACTACAAGACCGGTTTTTCTTAAAATTTAACATTGAGCAGAGTCGTGAAAATTCTCAACTTTAGTCAAAATCGTCTTTCAAACTAAGACCAACGTTGAGAATTTCCACAGTTCTGCTCAGTGTTAAAACTTAAGACAAAATAGCTATGCAGGCTGAGACTAGGTGGAATTTGGGGCCTCAGGACAACTCATAAGGGACACAAGAGTGCTCGATGCATTTGCTGGATGCTCAGGAATGGAAAGCCGTCCCTTTTTAGCATCCAGCAAATGCATTTTTATATATTTATATATAATTCATAGCATTTATTTATAGCTTTATAGCATTCATCTGAAATTTATATAGTGCCGTTGACTTCGAGAGGATGTTCCAAAGCACCTCCAATTCAGTGCCGATGTGAAAGGCCCTATATAAATGCAATTTGTTGTTGTTGTTGTTGTTGTTGCTGTTGTTGTTGCTGTTCCCTAGCACCCAGCATCCATCAGCGTGATCAGCATCTCAGCCACTAAGGTATGTTAACAGAAACTTACATTTCTGCTCAGTTGTGACTTGAGCAGTAGCTGGAGCTGAAGTCCACTCTGTGGCTCCCCATTGTTTTAGAGTTTAGGCGATTCCATTGTGCTCTTTTTCTGAAGGATAATGGTGATGTAACCAGAGTCCGGACGTTCCCAATTAAAACATTTCCTGCATGAGGTAGAAAATCTCATTGCACCCATTTTCCTGCAGTTGTTTTCTTCATTAATGTTCTGTTGGGTCGTATTCTGGAAAAAATTAGAAATGAGAAAAAAATTCCACAGTTTGAGGTTTTCAGCACAGGAAGCATTTACAACTGGTACTTCCTGGTACAGCAATGCACAGTAAGTGTAAAAAGAAAACATACTTGTTTTGCAAGCTACAATTGTAGATTTGCATTATCCATTAACACAATCCTGGCTATTTTTTTAAAAAACAAGGTGATGTCAAGCGAATGATATTGAATGATTCAGCTGCTCGTTGTGTTTGTGGAAGGAAGAAAACTTATACAAGTCCAAAGACAAACCACAGACAACACATCTGGGACACCTGCAGCCCTGGGCAGAGTGGAAAGTTGGCTGGATGACAAACCTTTGCTGTCAGAACAGAAACCGGCAAGCTAGAAAACAATAAGATGCTGATGGATCAAGCTCTTTTTCTGATGAAGGAGAAAGAAAGGGTCTGTTTGAACATGCCTGAGAATCTTTGTATACCTTGTTTGTAACAATTTGGGCCTTCAAACCTTCCACAGGCCACTAATCTGAAATCCTGCGTTAATTGTATTGTTGTCTCCCTTCAGGAACTGAACTGCGATAGTGGAAAATACTCAGGCTCTGGTGTATGTTCCTCGCCTCATCCCGAGTCTTCAAACCATTTACTCGTCTGATCCAGTAGTTCTGTCTGTGTAGAAAATACCCCCATAAGAAGCTGTTTAGGCTGTATGCACACCTGAAGCACTGCTCTCTACCATGGGGTCCAAGTTAAGGATATTAAAGTCATCTTAATATCACCATGACAAGTATCACTGTATCTAATAATATGGATCTTCTCTTGGTGAAGGGGGCCAAATGCAATGCAATAAAATTTATACCCATATAGTGCCTTTCACACCGGAAGGATGTCTCAAAGCACTTCACACAGTTGGCTGGACATCTGAGCTGGGCAGGTGAAGAGGGGCGGAAGATAAAGAGGGTGGGAGGGAAAAGTGACCGAAAGCATGGCCGGAAAAATAAATCTAGGGATGGACTTTAGATGTAGAGAGGTAGGACAAGTTCCAGAGAAAAGGGTTAGATAGGCCCAACGTTCTCCTGTTGATGGTGGAGCACATCTGGAGGGGGACATGAAGCAGGCTGAGTGAAAGGAGCATCCAGGTTGCTAGGCTTACAGCACTGGGATCTATAAAGTTCTGGATGGTCTGCAGCTTGTGTAGGAAGGATGTTACAATAATTGAGCCTGGATGTATTGAAGGCATGAATGAAGGTCTCAGCAGCCTGGGGTGGCGGGGGGAGAGATGAGTGCTGAAGGCGCGTAATTCTGTGGAGGTATGATCCTGATGCAAGGTGGAGTTGACTGCTTTCTGACACCCACCATATTTTTGAGATCCTCAGGACTTCAGACCAGTGCTTGAAAATAAAAGTAAAATGCACATTCATTGTTTCATCGCCCAAAGGCTGTCCAAACACGCACAAACCTGCTGCAATCTCTGCACAACATTTCATTTCTGTGTGTTCATTCTTCTTGATAAACAGAGTTCCAAATATTTAGCATGTCGTTTCATGATGCCTGAACGTATTGAACATACTTGTCATTCTGAGATCTTGCAAAGGTAGCAAGTCACAACTCTACAGTTTAACTGCTCCGAAGGCATGTTACTTACTTTGTTGATAAATTTACTGTGACAACCATCCAATGTTTGGAGAAAACTAAGAATCTCTCAATGCCTTTTTTCTGGAGTTCATGGAAAGCTGTAGCATTTCATGAACTCCTGTGGAATCTGTAGCTCCAGTGGTTAGAGCACTTGCCTCGCAAGTGAGGGACTTGGGTTCGATTCCTGGCAGGGCGAAATCCTGGCCAAAATTTTCTTACTCCACATGCCTGATAATAATCCCTCAAAAAAAAATAAAAAAAATAATTTGGTCACTCAATCTACGACTGTTTGTGGGACACTGCTGTGCGCAATTGGCTGCCGCGTTTCACCCACAAATATACAGTCAATTCACTTTACAGTATATTCTAGAAAACGTGAAAAGCGCTAAATCAAATGCAAGGATTATTATTGTATATTATTATAATGCACATTATATTCTGCCACTTGGATTGATTACATTATTCATTATCAGGGTTATGGTAACATATACTCTGCTTAATCAATGCAGTGGTTTTCCAGTGATACTGTATATATTTTAACCCTTTAACAACCGTAGTAACATTTTTGCTGCCGCAGTCAATTTGTGTGTAGCAGTGTCCCATGGACAGAATGACTAATTTTGACTGAGGGTTTGTTAGCCACATGGAGATGGCAAAATGGCGAACTTAATTTGTCCTGATGGGTAAAAGGAGGAAGAAATGGAAAGCTGAGGTGCGTGTATCATTGAATCCTACAGGACAGAAGGAGGCATTCGGCCCATCGTACCTGTGCTGGCTCTTTAAAAGAGCTATCCAATTATTCCTACTCCCCCGCTCTTTCCCTAAAGCCTTGCAATTTTTTTCTTTTCAAGTATATATCTAATTCCCTTTTGAAAGTTATTATTGAATCGGCTTCCACCTCCCTTTCAAGCAGTGCATTCTAGATTGTAACAACACACTGTGAAATAAAGTCATCTCCCCTGTTTTGTTTTGCCAATTATCTTAAATCTGTGTCGTCTGGTGACCCACCCATCGAAAACAGTTTCTTCTTATTTATCAAAACACCTCATAATTTTTAACACCTCTATTAAATCTCCCCTTAACCATCTCTGCTCTATGGAGATGTACAAGCTTCTAGCTGTACCCTTTCTTTTCTAATGAACAATGGCTATAATACTATCTACAAGGCCATCTTTGCATTCGTTACTCTTAACTTTGGTTGAAACTCTCTGCTTCAGTTCCCCCCACCTTGCCCCTCTCCGCCCATCATCAGATCTCATCTAGGGGTTGAGTCAGATAGGTTCACATTTTGACACCCGTAAATCTCCCATTGCAGCCACGAGAGAGACCGAATCTGACAAAACACACCAATAGTTCCCCTATCAATATGCTGCACTCTCGAGGAACTCTTTGAGATAAATGACACACTCCAAACCCTGGCTGTGGTTTTGGAGTGACAAGCTAAGATGATGATATCAGAACACATTTGAAGATCTTCCTCTTCCAACCTGAGGTCACCTCCTCTTTCTCCCCGGCTCGGCGTTGTTAAGCACTTTGAGATGCTACCTCACGTGAATAGTACTATATAAATGCAAGTCATTGTTGTGTTTATAAAGATCTGCC